TTTAAATGGGTTCACCCATACTTTTAAAAACCTGACTGGACTGGCCGGTATTTTTTTCAAAACTTCACTCCATGGGGGTTTGAACCCAAGACCTCTAAGCTATTTGGTTGAGTTCTTAACCATCCAACTAACGGTGCTTGTTTTTAGAAATTTGTATAATTGTTTATAATATTTCATAATTAATAAAAAGATTGAATAAAAATTCCTTTTCAATTTTAAAAATACTCCGCAATACTACGTATTATATAGCTATGAGTCAAACACAAAAGCATTGATATTTTTTTAATATTATTTTTTAATAGTAAATTTTATCTTTTAATTTAGTAAAATAACTCAAGTATATTAATATAAATTTAGTCAAATATTATAAATTACTCTCTTTATGTATTTATATATGAGAGAGAGAGAGTATATATATATATATATATATATATATATTGGTTCCAGTGAGAATAAAATCTAATGAAAGAAATAAGAATGAATAATCACCGTTAGATCTGTCAAATTTACATGTCAGATACGCTATTGACTATGGGCATTTTTGGGATTTAACATAACATCCTTCTCTCATCCCATTAATTGTGATAGCCGGATCCGCACATTTAGCGAACGATCTATGTTTCCTTTTGTTCCAGAGATCATTTTATTCAACCAAAAGAGAGACAAGAGCGAACCGGAAAGGGAAGGAGAGACGACAATTGGGTGCGGCGTCGAGGCTGCCGTTGAAAATTAGGTTGCGGTTGCCGGGGCATGAGTGCAGATGCAGTGAGGGATGAGATTTTGAATCACCGATGATTTACAATGGCAATTGGCAAGGAGCGATTGCGGTGGACGGCAACGAGAATCACTTCCTTAGTTATACGGGGTAATTTTGCTTTATCTCCAACAATGATTAGATTCTCTTCCTCTATATATTCTTGGATCTTTCAGCTTATTTAATTTGGGTTTTCTCATAGCTTTTGGGGGTTTTTAAAAAGGAGTTATAAGCCTTTCTTGATTTTTTCCATCAGTCGTACCCGTTTGAATTTCTTTGATTGATAGCACTCTGTTCTGCAAAAGTCAGTTTACTATCTCCATTGTAAAGTTAATTTTATATTTTTTGCTCTTTTGTCAGCGAAATTAATTCATGGGTTCAAGTATGACTTGTTTTATTTTATATTCTCTTGTTTTTTTACTCTTAAGACTTTTTTTTACTCCTTTTTCTTTCAATTTTTCTCACAGATATAACATAGTTTCTGTCATTTTTTTAGATGGACTTGAAACTGATTTAAAAATCGTTAGTGCATTATAATGACTCTTCCGTGCATCATAACATATTTATAATGCATTTTATGTAGACTCTAGCCTAATTTGTGAAGCATAATATATATTTTAGTGAATTAATCTAACACTTCAGTACACATCTTGTGGATTCCGGATCGTTTGATTTTTGAAGTATGATATGTTTAACAAAATGCCCCAAAGATTTTCCCAAGTCATACCACCAAAGATTGCACACCACATGTTTGACAAAATGCTCCAAAGATGTCTTTGGTGGAAACTACTTCTAGTCTTGTAATTTTGGGTGATTTGATTTTGTTTATCTAATTTATTGATTAGGAATTTGGGTGCGATGTGGCATTTTCTCATTTTATTGCACATAGAGTTGTACTCGATAGTTTTTGGATGGTACTCGCTACGATTTTGTCACGATCTCACTTATATTTTATTTTGATTATTTTACTTGTATTGATTTTGTTTATGTGTGATATTGCATTTTCATAATTTTGTCATGGATTTTGCTATGATTTTGCTTATGTTTTATTGGTTCTTCTAAAATGCATTATGATTTCTTTTGTTGTGACACGATCAGAGTTCAAGATGCGGTATGTTATATGATGATGAACTTGAACAAGATGCATTAATGAGTAAATAAAAAAAGATGCAATTCTACCGGATGAGGATGCATACAAACACATAAACGATGGAGTAAAGTATTTATCTCTGTAGTACAACTAATGCTAAAAAATATTTATCAGTAAATATTGGTGCATATAGAGTACTATTTTAAAGTGCACTTATATTACTGTGTGTTGTTGGCTTAGGGATGCCGATATTGATTTGAGATGAGGATTATGGCGACTATCCTTGTTTTCGTTGTTGTTGGGTTGCTTCATCTTTTTGTGCCATAATCTATTGTAACATAAGGCCTATTCACTAATACGTTGCATGTGATGTTGATTGCCACTACAACAGTTTGCCGCTGGGTGATGTGGGGAATTGTTTATCATGCTCAAATGAAGCCACTTATTGTTCCTATTCTAACAGAAAGAGATTGAAGAACTATGCATTGCACAAAAAGCCATGCATTCTTTCTCTAAGGCCATATTTTTGTACTCATGATGAGGAAGAGATGGAAAGATTAAAAACAAATATGTTGGGCCTTCTTGAGAGGTTGCATAAAAAAAACTTGTATTTAGAATTGTCAAATGTGTAGACAGAACAGTTGCTTCATTTGTATATGATTTGTTTTCTTTTCAAATAATAAAAATAAAATATTGCAGTATCCCTTTTTTGTTCTTAGGTAATGCACTATTGTTTTTTTTTCATTTCTTTTTATACATATGCACTTATAGTCACATAAGGCATGTTCCCATATTTTTATTGTCGTTTGTGATTTTAAAATTTGAGATATGTACAATATCAATTTACCAAATTTCTATAATCCATCTTTGAGTGCAACAAATCAATATTTACTTATGTATATAGTGCCTTTTATTTTTTGGTATCCCTTTTCATCAGCATTGACACTGTTTATTACTTACTTCCTCTTCAAATAGGAAAATAACTATGATACGAATTGATATAAGCACTTAGAACCCCAAGTTATAAATTTAATTAAAATCTTAAATGTAGTATGTTTTAATTCAAGAACCAAATAATTCAATTTATAAAATATGCACTATAATTTTTTTTTAAAATCATCAAAACATTTAGCATGCTATACATATCAATTTGGATTCTACAGAGTATGCACTACAAATTTCTTAGAATACACTGATTAATTTATATAATGCACTAAAAATGAATAATATATAAAAAAACCATCAAAATATTTAGCATGTTATACATATCAATATGGATTCTACAGAGTATGCACTACAAATGTCTTAGAATACACTGATTGTTTTATATAATGCACTAAGAATGCACAATATATAGATATTTACAATAGAGGATAAAAGCATTATGACCAGCAAACAGTGCATTACAAATTGAGATGGCATTTAACGTTATCAATTTCAAGCTATATGCATTAAGATTTTTTTAGAACCTAATTTTGAGATGCAAAATTTTTTTATGAATAAAAGATTAATAAATTCATGAGTATTTAATTAACAAAGGCTAAAATGAATCTCCAATATTAATCTCTAATAATAAACTAAGAAATTTTCAATTAAAAAGAGTCATAATGCAAAGATTTTTAATGAACAAAATATTTTGTTTATTTAAAAAATTTAAGAACAAAAGATTAATCCAATACCTAATAGAATTTTCTTAAAGCCTCAAGATGTTTTAGAAGCTTCATGAAAATTTGTGCGGCTTAGCTAAACTTTTGGGCGGACACGAATGATATATAAAATGATATTACCTTCATGCCCTTGGTCAACAACTTAGTCCTAATTTAATGCACTATAATTATGGCTTTCCTTTTTAAATTCAATTTTGTAAATGCCATCTACAACCAGCCGTATCCCTCTGATGGTTTGAATCCAACCATCCCATTTCATTCTTATTTCTTTCACTAAGCACCATTCTCACTGGAACCCACCCCTATATATATATATATATATATATATATATATATATATATATATATATAATTATTAATATGTTTAAACCACCGGTTCGACCAGTTGAACAACTGGTTCGATCAGTGAACCAGTGAACCAGTGAATCAGTACCTTGACCGGTTCGGTCACCGGTCCGGTTCTCAAAACTATGGGTTCACAAACTTTTTTTCCCTACGCTTTAGAATAGGGAATGATCCCCCAATTTCTATGTTTTTTAATAGAGCAACAGGGATACTGTGTGTGTGATATGTACTCCGTATACTCCCTCCGTCCTAAAATTAATTTCTCATTTGACTTTTCACGGTCTCTAATGCAATATTTTGACCATCAATATCTCATTTTTTATATAAATATATTTTATAAAATTTATATATTTCAAAACTATGTTTCAAAATGAATCTATTGCTAATAAATTTATATGAAAATTCAATGTATTTTTTCCGTAATATACGGTCAAAGTTTAAAAAGTTTGACTATAAAAGTCAAACTGAGAAATTACTTTTAGGACGGAGGGAGTATAACTTTGTATTTTTTAAAATGATTTTTCAATATAAAAATGATATGTATTTTTTTATTTTTAGGAAAATTTTTCCAGAATAATCCCAACTTTCACCCGTCTTCCAAAAATAATCCCAACTTCTCTCTTTATTTATAATAAGCCGAACTTCTTTAATTTTTATCCGTTTTGGGCCTCCGTCTAAACACTAACTCTGCCTTAACGGGAATTTGACGTGGCTTTTACACGGTGGATATTTTACGGTGCCCAGTAATTATCATTAATAAAAACGCTTCCATTAGATGTAGAACCTTAATTGGAAACCCGTACAATTGCCTAGCTCCAGCTTTCTCAATTGAAGGCTTTCTCTCACGCAGAAGACACCAGGTTTCACTCTTTGTGAATTTTCCGATGAAGCTCATATACAATTATGGTGGAAATTTGAAGCATAGACGGACTATAGAGTATGTCGGAGGTAACACTTGTGTTCTAGACGATGTAGATCCAGATAAAATTGGTTATTTTGATCTTCTTGATTGGGCAAAAGATTGTGGAGATTATCCTCCTGTTTCTGAGTTGTATTATGCAAAGCCAAGCTGTGATTTGGGTAAAGGGTTGAAGAGAATATATGGTGACAAAGAGACAATTGAAATGGTGACAGATGGAGAAAAAAGTGGTAATGTTATTTGTTTATATGTTGTGCACCAGACTAAAATTTTTTCTGCTTGTGCTTCAAACCAAAATAGAAGAGATACTAGTCTTATTGTTGACAAAACTCCCCGTAACCTGTGGCAGTGTTGGAACCTGTGACAGTAAGCCATTTCAATGTCTTGAGGAACCCTCCATGTTGTGCCAAAGGGTGCTGTTAATACACCCAAAAGCAATTCACGACATTTTTTAAACTCCCCGTAACCCAAGTCAATTCACGAGATTGTTTAAACCCCCCGTAACCCAAGTCAATTCACGTTTGGACGATAGTAAAGAGTCATAGCAACTCTAGTACGTACTTGTACTAGAAAACACATTAGGGTAATTCCACCTAAACAGTAAAAAATATTTACGTGGGGAACATATTTACTTGTTATATCATCCAAATCAAACAATATCACTAAGTCATAAATTATTGAATGTCATAACACTGCCAGATACAATAACACAAGCATATCCAAATACAAATCTCAACTTATTTCAAGCATACCCAAATACAAATACATATCAAACATACCCTTCAATGTTCAAATCATACAACAACATATCCAAATACAAATCTCAACTTATTTTTATCACTGCTAACACAATAACAAGGATAAAAAAGTTTGCCACAGACATGAGAACTCCCATCTTCAACCATTCTTCATTCTTTTAGAGCAAACTTTTGACTTCATGTCTCTGTTCTGATACCTCTTTCAACAAAACAGGCGCCAAATCCTTCAATTGATTCACAAGCGAATTTAGATCATTGTTATCATTGCGCAATGGACTCACCTCTTCCCATGTTGGTGTCTTGTGGGACCCATGGGTTATGCTTTGGCCAAAGATCTCTGTTTCTGCCTCTGCGTTTCGCTCAAGAGCATCCTTCCAACATAACCACTGACTGCAATTGACACAAGCATAGTAAGGCTTCATGAAGTTCTTTGCTGTCTGCGCTACTTTGATTTCAACCTCCGTATATGATTTACACTTTTTGCAATAGAAGTTGCATTTAGAGGATGGTGACTGTTTGGATGTAGACCCCATTGAGCACTACAAGTATACTCCTGCTTCTCCCTTCCAAAGATTGATGCACCAACCTGAAATAATCGCATAAGTCAGATTTTTTTTTTGTTAAAGAGAATTTTTATTAAAAAGAAGAAAAAAAAGGGGTTGCTCAGGCCCCAACAAAAGAGCCAAACAGAAAAAACATCTAAAATAACAGTGATACACCAAGAAACAAACAAAAGAAAAAGAATCCATGAACGTAGAAACATTTAAAAGAAAGGCCAAAGCTAAGTCCAATCAATCTCAGCTGGTCACATTAAGGCATCTCTTCCCAAAAGTGAGCTGGACTAAAGGTGAGCAGATGGAAACAATTACTGATCCTTGAAGCATGGTATTCACCCAACTTCCAAGCGTAATCATAGATTGAAAGTCAAGCTAAGTTTCTGCAATTCAACCTCCATGGATGAATTGAAATTGAAATCAAATTTCAACCATAAGAAATTTAATTTGCAATGAATTCTTAAGTACGTACTGACTATTTGTGTCTATTACCTTGTGCCGAGCGAAACCCTTATCTTCAGGCAGTGAGAGAAAGCCTTCAATTGAAGCGATTCTACCTCGTTCCAATTAGGGTTCAAGCTGGTGTCTTTTGCGTTTTGACATTTTATCAATGATAATTACATGGCACAGTAAAATATCCACCGTGTAAAAGCCACGTCAAATTCCCGTTAAGGCACAGTTAGTATTTAGAGGGAGACCCAAAACGGATAAAAATTAAAGAAGTTCGGCTTATTATAAATAAAGAGAGAAGTTGGGATTATTTTTGGAAGACGGGTGAAAGTTGAGATTATTCTGGAAAAATTTTCCTTATTTTTATACAGAGTAACAATTTATAATTGAAATAACTTTAAAAGTTATTTGGCCTTTATTGTGATTTGGAGAGTGACATTCATCTTCGAAAGGAAATGGAGGAAGGAGTTGAAGGTTAAAGACGACCTATAAATCTATAATCCATCGGAAAAGGAATTGAAGGACGACGCGAAGCAATACCGGACTCAGGTATATTAATATTCTTGAAAAATATTCTGTAATTTCTTGCTGTTTTGAAGAGATTTTAAATGATGTTCACTATTTAATGTCCAATTTCGGCTTAAAAATTCATATGTTTAAGAAATTTTAATTTGTTCTATGATAGATATGTTTCCCAGAACCCTATAATTTCTTCTATAATTTCGGGTTTTAAATATGTACCCTCTTTGTTGTTCTTTATTTATTTGTTGTCTTAGTTCATGGTTAACTTCAAATGATCTTAGATCTGTTGGAACTTGGGTCAATGATTCAATTTCCTTCAATCATGCTTACTGGTGAATCTGACTTTGTTAGTTCAATTGTGTAAGTTGTGAAGTCTGCAAAAAGTCAGCATGGATGTTGATTTTTCCACAAAAAAAAAAACTGTTTCGAGTGTGGTATTGATGGTTACCTCCATGTCCTGTGTCTGCAATAATAAAGGGTGCTTAGCATTTGAATATTAAGTATCCATTGGTAAAGATTTCTGGGAGTTGTAGTATCCAAATGTTCCGTTTTTCCTTGTTCTTTTTGGATTCTATATTCACGAAAATCTCAAGGGTTTTCATAAAGCAACACTTGCTCCAGTCAACCATACAAAAAAGACCAGATTCCACTTTGCTGCATATGCTTATAGATATCATAGAAATGGGCCAAAAATCTAGATAATGAAAGTTTTCCAGGAAATGTCATATTTCTACATCACTAAGGAGGTCACAGACCTCAATCCTTAAAACCTATTATTCATCTTTTGTAAAATCCACAACTATTTTCCTTATACATAAAGCATGTAGCCTTTGTGATACATCCTTGCATAAAGCAAAGAACCTCAACACATTCCTAATACATAAACTCATAAAGCAAAGAACCTCAACACATTGCTTTATTTTCCTTATACATAAAGCACGTAGATACAATTTGAGCACAATGTGGATCATTATTCTGTTTCTGACAGTCCTTTGTTTGAATGCAAGTTCGTTGTGAATACTTGTAAGTGTGTACTTTATCACCATTCAAGTTTCATTTTGAGTTTTAGGTCACTGAAACTACTTATTATTCACTAAAGCTTATTTCCACAGTGAACTTGAATGGTGCTGAGTTACTATAATGCACATTAAGATTCTACCAACGCTGCACAGCAGTTCTGTCCAAATGTATATATATCTTCCTTATGAAAACAATCTAAAATAAAATTAACATTCTCAGGGGTTTATGCGACTAACTATGATGTGTTTTATAAAAAAATTATTGTATATGAGCTAATTACGGAGTATTATACATAAATGGGCTATGTTTATGGTTGCATTGAACATCATTTTCTATTGAAGATTGCTTTCAAGTGCACAGTTATGTCTTCCAGCTATGCAAACTGTAATATTCATTTTCATACAATTCTTTGTAGTTTTAATATTATCAATTTATACTATCTGATTTGATGTTTCGGGCATTCCTTCGCGTGTCTTTTCGTATTGTAGAACGTACGTGCAATAGTATTGTGGAAGTCCGTTTCCTCTAAGGAACACTCCTGACAGTCCTCCGTGGTGACCTTCTCTTGGGGAAGGTCCTCCACTATGGTCACTAGGGGCTCCCGGGTAGGTGAATTGTCGGTAAGAATGTTTTCCTGCTTTTGAAGCTTTCTCTGCATATCCACTCCAACTTTTTTCCACGTATGACTCTGCAAAAAGGAACTCGTGTTACCAGAAAGAAAGAATGAGGAGGAAAGTAGAGAGTCAGAAGGTGTACCCCCTATTACTTAGTTGAGCTGAGTGGTTGTAATGGGAGTGGGAGGGCCCAGAGGGTCCATCTCCTGGGGCAGTGGGTCCGAAACATCTGCCTTCATGGAGATTTGTTGTCAAAGACCACGATGGAGACCTCCCGTGTCCTGGACTCTTTGTTAGAGTTTTCCCCTGAGCTGCTACTCTTAGTAGAGCTGTCATGCCCGGAGGAACTTCTTTCATTGGATGAGTGACTCTCTTCCTCCCAATCAGGAGAGCTGTTACCCCCTCATTTCCAGAGGAGTGACTCACTAGGTCTTCATTGCCCGTAGAGCGTGTCTCCTCTTCTTTGTCGGGATGAGAGTCGTACAACCCTGCCAATTAAGCCACTTTGGGTCTATTTAGCGAAGAATGGACCAGGGGCTCCGACCCGCAGAGCCTCGCGTACAGAGTGTCCTCGGCAGGATCTGAGATGGATGATTGGCAAGGAACTCCAGAGCTATTGAAGACACTGTCAAACCCCAGGTGTGTACCTTGCAAAAGCACGACCCAAAAGCTCTTGCGGTCCCACTTTTTCACCTTGCTTGGGACGTGGGCAAAAAGAACTCACTTGGGGTGAGGAAAAACGCTCGCATAGGGCACTCCGCTCAGGGTAAAGAAGTGCCGGAAGGATTCGTAGGTTGCCGGAGCCTCTTTCTTAGTGCACCGTAGGATGAAAGTGAAAATAGTCCGGTGGGCGTTGGTGGTAAGCATAGTTATAATGGGGCCAAGGTGAGGCGAGGCGGCAGTTTACCGCCATGATGCCCAGACGACTAGGCAACCTAGGTGGCAACACATAAGAAATCAGCATTGGTGTACATTAGTAACACTAATATAAATATAAACATACTTGTTCTCTAAACCTAATCAAAGTTTCATATACACATACATAAATTAAATATACACAACATAATATGAAAACAAGAAGAATATGAAATACAAAATATGACTAAAACACAATATGCGACTTCTTAGTGCAAACTAAATACTGAGTATAAAAAAAGTCACTCACTAAAAGGCATAATTCAGTTCCAAAAGTCGATGCCTGGACGCCTAGTCGAGGGATGCAAAATAAGGCAAAGCAATATACCATGACGAGAGGAGCGGACCGCAAGGACTCCTAGGCGACACCTTGATACCTATGGCAGTAAGTTGACCTGGCAGGATGTAATGACTATGACAGATCAGTAATAACTCGTACTGAAGTGTGGAAGGGGAGATGGCAACCCAACCTAACAGATTCATAGTGCAAGAGAAACACTTGATAGGTAGTTTGGTTGGTTGTCAGATTGGTGTCCCAAAGAGCACAGACCAGCTCAATAACTTCTGCATTTTGTCCAATTCAGCAATTTTGGTGGTGGGAGAAGGTTCCCAAGTCGCCATGTTAATATGCACCATCTCTAAAGCAATTAGGGAAGAATGGCGAAGAAATTCAAAGAAATTAGGGACGAAGAGGGTCTGAAGTGGCTATCTTCTGCGGAGGCTCGGTTAGGGATTTTGAGAAGGTAAATGTTGAATTGAAGAAGAAGGTGTACTTGAATGGGAGGAGGCAGTGTTGAAAGGGCATAGGCTTCGTTCACAGTCCTAGAGCAACAATGACGCACGATGATGATGGAAACAACTATTGATGGAGTCTGTTCCTTAGGGTGGCTAGGCGCGTGTCGTGACAAGGAACCTTTCATATTTTTGATTGAAATGTTAAGTATAGTTGATTTTATATTTGTAATTTTTTGACGGGACTACTCCTTCGGGAAGGCCCGTATAAGAAACTAAGGGGTTTGTGATGGGTATATTAGGCCTAAGGAATTATTGTTCATGTAACAAGCCTAATGTATGTCTCCAAGTGAGTAGCCTGGTGAGTGACCCATGGGCCAGACAGGCGGGTCAGTCCGTATTGGCCACGAGGCACGAATAACCAAGGCAGGAGGTGCGGTTGCTAGGGTTTGAAAGCTTGGGGAAAGGGTCTTGTTCGTTACCTTAACCAACTCAATCAAATCCCAAGATTTTGGGGACTGATTAGAGTCGAACCAGGAACTCTAACAGACTAACACCCTCTAAGTACCCCCTTAAATATCATAAATTCATAATAAAAACTCGAATTCTTATTGTCAAAGAGTTTGTGCGATTGCCTAATCTTTTATATCCACTATTGATAATATTAGTGTGTGAGAGTCCAATAAAGAATGGCTCGTTTATTGGTTTAAAACAGACTATGATTGGAACCTGTTTTTTTGTTGTTGTTTTTGTTTTTTTTGTTTTTTACACTCACTGTTTCTTGCTTACCACAAAGATTAGAGGCTGTGCGCCAAAAATGGAGAAGAAAGCCGGCGAAGAAGGAACAGAGACGCGAAACAGCATAACATACTGTGTAACAGGAGGTTCAGGTTTCATAGGATCGTGGCTCATTAAATCTCTCCTCCACAAGGGCTACAATGTACATGCCACCGTTCGCCATCCCGGTCTGACAATTCTCTCTCTTGCTTTTGTTGTTGTTGTTGTTGCATTTCCCTTTTATGCATACTCTTGCGGATCGATCTAGAGTACTGCATACTTGGAATTCCTTGCTTTTCAGCTTGTTTGCGCCGTTCACTTAAGAGGCAGTATCTATTTTGCCGCATCCAAACCTTGATGTTTAAATAGCTTATTTGAAAGTAGAAGTCATAATATATCTTAAAAATGATTGTTTACAAGTTGCGAGAAATTTGCAATTGAAATGGTGTTTACCTCTAGGGATTCATCTTATTATGTGCACTCTCAACTTTGACCAGAAAAGGCACTTCATTTGTTAAAATTGTCGGGCCGGCTGAAATTGTTCAAAGCTGATCTAAACGAAGAGGGGAGCTTTGACGAAGCATTTAGAGGCTGTGATGGAGTATTCCATGTAGCCGCATCAATGGATTTCGGTTTACAAGCAAACCACAATATTGGTGAGTTAGTTGAAATTCTAATTTCGACACGATTGAAGCAAAGGAAATGACACAGATGTACATAATTTTAATCTGTTCCGTCTTGAAGACAGTTATGTTCTAGAAAAGGCGATCAATCCAGCAATCAAAGGGACACTAAATGTTCTTAAATCTGTTCTGAAAGCGAACTCGGTGAAAAGAGTTGTGTTCACATCATCAATCAGTACAATGACAGGCAGGTTTCCTTCTGGGAAATTAAGATCCGTGGTTGATGAATCTAGCGACATATCAACACAACATGTGTGGAATACTAAGCCAAGTGGCTGGGTATGTTATCCTTATTTTCTGCTAGTAGTATACTAAGGCATTGTTCTTTTGGGTCGGAAAAATTAACTTCCAATTTTTTTCAACTCTTTGCTAGTTTCTTCCGAACTCCTTTCAGTTTCTTTCAATTCCTTCCAGTTTCTTCCAACAACGACTTAAAAAAAGTATTTATATATGATGAATATACAATAACATTATATATTCAAATTTAACTTCCAACTTTTTTCAACTCTTTGCTAGTTTCTTCCGAACTCCTTTCAGTTTCTTTCAACTCCTTCCAGTTCTTCCAACGACTTAAAAAAAGTATTTATATATGATGAATATACAATAATATTATATATTCAAATTTATTACATACCGCTTCAAATACGGACAAGGATGAATTATATTTTTTTAATCCAAAATTAGAGTTTTCTTACATATTTATTTGGGTGATCATTTCATTGAGTGACTTTTAACACTTTATTTCTTCCTACACTTTTCAACTCCTTCCAGTTTTTTGAACTCCTTCCAATTTCTTTCAACTCTTTCAAGTTTCTCCCAACATCCAACTTTGAAATTTCAATCCAAAGGTGTATTCTCCCAACATCCCTTTTGTTTAGGTGTATTCTCTCACAAAGGTATCCGCCGAAGAGGCTGCATTCAGATTTTCCAAGGATAATGGTATTGATTTGGTGTCAGTAATTTCTCCAACAGTGGCTGGTCAGTTCCTCACTTCTACAGTTCCATCAAGCATTCGGGTTCTCCTATCACCAATAACAGGTAATTCAGGTTTTTATGAGCCCTAACACACATTTTATTGCACGGTTATGTGACCTTCGCGAGGTTTTACATTATATATTTGGACGAATATAGAGGATGCAGGCATGTTTTCAATACTAAATGCTGTGAACTCAAGAATGGGATCAGTTGCTTTAGTTCATGTAGAAGATATTTGCTCTGCCCACATCTTCCTTATGGAGAATGATAAAGCAAAAGGACGGTATCTCTGCTCTGCTCATAATTGTTCCATATCTGAATTGATGCATCATATAAGCAAAGAATACCCTATTCCTAATGCGAAAAGGTTTTTGTTTCATCCCTGTTTTTCTCTGTTTTCCAAACAAGTTAGTGGTAAGCGACTTATTTTTTTCTCGTGTTACAGCCAAGTGATGCGAGAGCAAGATCTACAGCCCCCAACTATTTCATCAAAGAAATTAATGGATCTCGGATTTACTTTCAAGCACAATGTCCAAGAAATCATACATGACGCAATTCAGAACTCTATACAACATGGGTTTTTACCTTGTAAACAATAGTAAGTATTCCCCCCTGAGTTATGCACGAAACAAGTAGACGGTTTGCAGAAACAAGAAGCTTTGATGACTGGTTTGTATATATGATGAACAAGAAGAATAACATGCACAAAGCAAAAAAAAAAAAAAGAAAGTAAAAAACAGGTAAAGTGTTGTTTTTGGATCTAAATATAAATGTTGCATGGGATGTGTTGTAATGTTTATGAGGTACTTCAGTGATTTGGGTATTTTAAAACTGGCCGAACATGTAGGAGGCCGCAAGGTTTGCGTACACACCCTCCGAGACCCTACTCGTGTCGAATCAAACTGGGTTGTTGTTGTTGTTGTTGTTACAATGTCAATCTAATAATTTTATAAATCACTCCTTTCATCTTGTTGGGTTGTCAGTTTTGGCTTTTTGGTCAAATAGTTTATTTTTGGCAAATGTTGTTAGTTGAAATATTTATTGGAAAGTATATTTATGAAGGTGATCTTAAGCCATTGCCAATGGAGCCAAAATGGTCATTTTTTACAATCTTTTAGTTTAGGGCAACTAATGAGCAGCTAAATCAAAATGACTCGTCAAACTTCGGACGGTTCTTACTATGAAGTTTTGTGAAGTAAATGCAGCAATACATCAAAAGTCTGATAAAACATCCTCTGTTTCCTTACTTTCTTAGAGGGGTACGGTTGTGTACCTTTTGACCCCTCCCCCTCCCCACTGCACCCTTGGCGCTCGACTCCAATGGATTAAGGCTCCGTTCCGTTCAATTTATTTTACTGATCTGATCTGATTCTAATAAGTTCTAATCTGATCTGATCTGATCAGATTAGATCTGATCTGATTGGATCTGATCTGATCTGATTAATTATGATTTAATTTAAAATTTCAAATCAATAATTTAATTTGACTTTATAATAACGTTTGAAAATTGTAATGATAATTCATATTATAATATAATCAATATTTTTTATTTAATGATTATTTTTTAATAGAATAAAAATAGTTAATTCATATATTAGAATAATCATTCATATTATAATGTAATAATATTTTTATTTTATGATTATTTTTTTGTAAAATTAGAATTATACATTAGAATAAATATTTAATTTAGATATACTTTAAAAAGTAAATAAATTTAGATAATCAATATATAGAAGAGATAGTATTTTTATTAAAATATCTCATCCTTATAAAAGATCAAAAGTTTAGAAACTCAAATTACAAATAACAATAAAAATATATTTTAAAAGTAAAATTAGATTGACATTGTCAATGTATTTTAAAACTAATTTTTCAGACGTCTAACAATTAAGGATTACTTTCTCAGTTTTCTATTTAACCTATTTCTAAAGTTTATTCTTTTTCATTTTTAAGAATAATAATAATGATGATGATGATGATGATGATGATAATAATAATAATAATAATAATAATAATAATAATAATAATGGTAATAATAATAATAATTCTTGATGGGATCTGATTTTAATAAGTCCTGATCTAATCTGATCTGATCTGATTGGATCTGATCTGGTCTGATTGGATCTGATCTGATCTGATTAGATCTGATCTGATCTGATCTGATTCGATCTGATCTGATCTGATTCGATCTGATCTGGTCTGATCTGATCTAATTTTAATAAGAATAAGAAAAAATAAGAAAAAATAAATTGAACGGAACGGGGCCTTAAGACTAAATAGGGTATCAATGGAGGTTAAATGGTTATCTTTGGCAATGTCTTAGTTCCGGACAACTAATGTGATAAATCAAACTACTCAGGCTTCTTACTTTGTATTAAATTTCGTGAAGTAAATGCAACACATCAAGAGTCTAACAAAATATCCCTTGTTCCTTAGAGGGGTAGGGTTGCGTACATTGTGACCCCCCTCTCCCCCAAAAAAAACCCTCTACGTTCGACTTTAACGGAGTTGAGACTGTACTAGGTGTTTTGTTGTGGTAAATTACTCGGAGTAACAAAGAAGAATTTAATATTCCGTGCATAGTATAACTCATTTTTTATAAACCTACATTATAAATAAAGAAGATTACATATACTACTACGTATTATAAAAGAAGAAACTTGCGACGTACCACAGACTAAGGATGTATTCTGTTCGCTTGATCTGATTTTTCGAAGATCTGATCTGATCTTGTCTGACCTGAACTAATTATAGTTATAATTAAAGATGTTTCTGATATGATCTGCTTTGATATGATATGATTATCTTAAAAATAAGTAATACATAGTAAGTAGAAAAAAAAGTTGAATGGAACGTTGCCTACCGGAGTATCCCATATTATAATTGGGTATCTACAATTGACAAATTATACTCGGTATTATATACGGAGTACTACCTAAGGGAGTATTTGGATGCACACGCATATCCATGCCACTTTTTAATTCCTTGTTCATCATGGTTCTAAACAATGCTTATGTCATCTTTTCATATTTGTGTTTCAACTTGTTTCTTTAAAAAGACTTTATATTATATGATTATCTTGGGTTATTTTGAAAAAGTTGTTTCAACTTTTATTTAGTTGTTTGTTTATCATTTATTATTATTATTATTATTATTATTATTATTATTATTATTATTATGAAAAATTTACATGAATGCTCCAAAAGTGTCATGATTTTACATAAATACTCTTAAATTCATTAATTTATGTCATCATTTTTAGAACTGTCTCATATTTTTATTGTTACTCCGTCGCTGCCTAGTCATCGTGTTGTTGTTCTTTCAATGATGAGTGGCCAATTTAATCAAATCACGTCAGTAACAGTTTTATATTATACCACAATTAGATGAATCAGATCCATTCATATCATATCAGCATTCAGATCTAACTACTTGGACATTAAATGAGACCGGCTTTAATAAATTAAGATTTGATTTAAAAAGTATTGACAATGAAAACACACCCTAAGAAAGTTAAAAAGAGAGAAAGGTGTGCGAAAAAAGATGTTGGGTGTCATTCGGTTGCTTAAAATCATTAATTACAAGTTGGCACTCTTAAACTCTCCACATCGTATTAACAGAGCCACATAGGTAACAAACGTGAATATTAAACAACGCCAGAGTAAGGATATAAATATGAGACTATTCTGGCCTTCTGGGAACAATGATGTAAATTAATGAATTTGGGAGCATTATTTATGTAAAATTGTAAATTTTTAGAAGCATTTATGTGAATTTTTCCTTATTATTATTTTAAGAAAAAATTATTAATAAAATGATAACAACATCAACCTAGTTTAACCCACAAAGAATAAGTCAAGAGACAATATGGACGTAGATCTTACCTCTACTAGAAAGTAAAGATGTTTTTAAGAGAGATTTCAGCTCAAACACGAAATGCACACCGAACAAGATAAAATGAAGCAAACATCAAGTTTAGGGTAAGATAGAAAAACACAATGAAGCAAAAAGTACCACACAAAGAAGCACACAAGGCCATGCTCAAAAGGTTACCTAACTATTTTAGTTCTAGCTCTCTAGCCTCTCCAATCTAAGATAATATCTTCTGAAACTCAAGTAAAAAAATTCTCCATAAGTAATTAAAACCAACAAAGTAGAATTTACGAGCATTAGTTGAAATTGAACTTAGTTTAGTTCATCTTAGCCCACCAACTATGGATGCACGAAGAATGACACTAAGAATGAAAATGAACCCTCTAGAAATATGATCTCAATAAAATTTGTACTAACTTAATTCAATTTGGGTTGCAATTGAGGTTTTACCTCTATTTATAATCTACATATTACGACGTACATGACATGCAATTATGGTTAGATTTCTTGCAATAATTGATCCAACGTGCATCACTTATGGCGGAAAATTAGTCATCAATTATCTACGATATTGGGATTGACTGCTCATTGGCTAACTCATCCAAGCCCAGGCCCAACTCCTCCCAGGACTCTCCCATCGACCCAATTTACACCGATGTTGTAACAATACACTTGTTTGATCCTATATCTCGTTCGGCCCGATTCATACTCAAGGTTAAAAAAATATATTGGGCCGATACTTTCATTCACTAAGCCCGATATCCATCAATGTGCTAAGTAGTTAATTCGGCTAAACCTGAAATAGATGTAACAATATGTCTAAAATCATACAAAACTAACTAAAGTTACTCATATGTTTAAAGTAGCAAAACTGAAAAAAAGGTAGGATGTACTTTTCCCACATGAGTTCGAAGTACGGTTGGGAACTTGGGCCCTTTTTAAGGAATGTTATGATGCTAATCAAAACACTGATGCCAAACAAAGCCATAGTCATTATTTAAGTACGCTAACAATGGAAATTTTCTACTAAAGGAAAAGGAAATAAAGTCAATACAAATAAAAAATAAAAAAAGTAGAGAAGCATTAAGAATTGTGGAGTGCAAATATCACTTCTTGTTTTTTAAGGACGAGCTTGAGTACTCCGTATTTATTTTTCTATTCACCAAAGCTGAAAAACGACATACGGCACTCAACGCCATTTAGGACATCTTTTTTGAAACTTGATATCTCAGATATCGAAACCCAAATCTTACAAACTACTCTCTCTACCAAAAAAAAGTTAATCGTTGAATAATTATGAAGGAATTGAAAATAAGCATGAACCGTTATAGAAGTCACCCTAAATAAAAGTAAACAAAAAAATTTTAAAATAAGAGTTTCATGTTTTTATCTCCAAAATAGACAGTATAGTAATGTGACAGTATATATGGAAATTTCACCATATTTTTTAGTAATGTATATAATCATTTTTCCCTTTATCCTACAATAACCATGCTCTAGGATAACTCGACTTTCATATAGCCAAAATCATCGCAAAAAGCTGAACCACTAACATGGTCTAAACAACTCGGAACCCAGTAACACTCCCAAGTCCCAACTGCCAGTTTCAAACTCTTTCAGGCCATTTCTATTACAGCCTCACCCTTGGCTTTAGCCAAGCCACCCAAATTCCTGTTTATTCAATCCCCCAATTTCACCACCACCTGAACTTGCGAAACTCGACCCATATACGCAAGCAGACTGACCTGATTTATCGAATGAAAATGACCTTCGCTTCTTTCAGCACTGGCATTCCCTTGTGCCCGTACAAGCTATGGTGTCAGCCTAATACTGGAAGACGGCGGTTCATTGCTTGCTCTGTCCATGCTCCGCCCATTAAAGGTACCCCACCCGACATATTCTCCAATTTTCAATTGCATGAGCTCATTCGCTTTATTGGAAATGTTCATTTTGCCGTCTAACATGTTAATTTTAGGAGTGTTTCTCATTTTGCATTTGCTACTCAGAAGATTTTACATTTTGAAGCCTTACTGGCTGATGCCTTATTACTTAGTATTACTATTGAATAATGGAATAAACAAGAGCCTGTAACCGCGGAGAAAATAGCGCCTTCGTGAAAAGTCTGCTAGAAGTAGAGAGACACATCTTTGTCGCGTGACGAACAAGCTTGAGAGTGAGTTTGCTGAGTTTTTTTCGGGCGGAGAGTGTTGGCGACCGGAGCGAGGGCGAAGAGTTCCTTCTTTTCTCCTTTTGGGCCATTCTCTGCTTCTCAATCGCTTTTCATGCTCTCGAACTCTAGAAGAAACACAAACAAATGCAGCTTCCCAATTCTTCAATCACACATACGAATTTGGTGAAGGCGACAATTATGAGGTTTCGGATCAGACAATTTTAAGGTAGGGTTGGACATGGATGAAGAAGGTTGGGTTGGTGTTTTTGTTTGATTTTGGTCGAGGGTACTACGGGAGAATTTTTTTGGTAGTGGTGAGGAATATTGATCGGAGGAAGAAGAATGACGCGACTGGTGGCTAATGGCGGTGCCGCCCATCTGGAGCGAAGGTAGAGGATTTTAGCTAGGTCACCAAGATCGGTGGCTTATACCATATTGAATAATGGAATAATTGTATTACTCAAGGAATAATGGAATAAATGGCAGAGTATATATAGAATGGAGTAGATTCTCAGCTACGACTAGGAATCAATAATAGAAGCTGACTAAAATACAAAGACTACCATAATAGAGTTAATTATTACTATTGTCTAACAATTGCTTCCCATGTGTAGTTTGCTTTTTTTTTTTTGCATTTCTGCCTGTGAGGAAATGGATAATTTCATTGTTTGTTGTTTACTCCGTAATTGGCATGGCCTTGTTGATAACTTTATGTACTCTGATCTCTCAGATAAATACTTTGCCAAGCATCCGCGTAAAAGGCGTGTAACTGGTGAAGGGTCTGGAAGAAGTATGGATGACTCCGTTCAACGTAAGATGGATCAATTTTATGAAGGGTCCCAAGGCCCTCCTTTACGAATCCTTCCCATTGGGGGTTTAGGAGAAATTGGGATGAATTGCATGTTAGTTGGATATTATGATCGATATATACTGATCGATGCTGGTGTAATGTTCCCTGGGTAAGCATAAACAAATACGCCGGAGTACATTTCTCGAAAGATTTTAAGCATTACATTTATCGTTGAGTATGGGGCTATGTTTTCAATAAGTTTTACGGACGGTTTTGTAAGGCATGTATGGATTGTCTCACATTGTAATTATAGGAGGCATAACCAAGTAATTCAATTTTGTCAATGTAGTTGAGCAGTTATTACTGATTAGTTCATCTTCCCTTACCCTGCCTTCACCCAAAATAGGCTTTACATTAACTTTCTTGAAGACTTGAACATGAAGATTTGTTGCTATTCGATTTTTCTAATTCGGTCCCCTTATGCTTTCTCCATTGTGGATCAATGTTGGATCTCCTTTGTCATTTATCCAGATATGATGAGCTTGGTGTCCAGAAAATTATTCCTGATACCACTTTCATTAAAAAATGGAGCCACAAAATTGAAGCAGTTGTCATAACTCATGGACACGAAGATCACATTGGTGCATTGCCTTGGGTAATGCTTCAATTCATCTCTTAGAAACTTTCTTCCATGGTAGTTGTAAACAACAAAGTGTGCTTTATTAAGAAGTTTGATATATTGCTGTGTTGACATGGCTAAAGTTTTTATAACAAAATTTTTGCGAGGGCATTCTTGTTTTAAGAAGTTTTCCGTATTTGTGTTTTATCTTTAGACCCTGAGGGTGTAAAGAGAAGTTTATCTTTCTTTTCGGCTTCTGGTGTGTGTCCATGCGTGTCGTGCATGCACATTTTTCTTTCATGGCACAGACACACACAACTTACAAATTTCTTATTAACACTGTGCTGGAATCCAGGTCATTCCAAGCCTTGATTCCCAGACACCAATATTTGCGTCTTCGTTCACACTGGAGGTATGAATTCATGGATCATTTGACTTCTGATATTAGTTACTCTGTATTTTTTATAAAAAAAAAGAAATTGTGTGAAAGAGATTAAAGAGAGATGAGAAATAGCAATTCCAGGTTCTCTCAAAATTCTAGAAAATATCCATCTTTTTTTTGAAATAGTGACTTCATATTTCATTTATGTATCTTTTGTGCTCTCAACATCTAATTCTCATGTTTTCTTCTCACCAATACAGGAAAAGTTCATTAATCCTCACTTATTATATATTCAATTTTTTCTGACATAGCATTCAAAACTTCTAACTTTTGAGTTTCGAGACAAAGTTATTAGTTAGTTTAGAATAAAGGTGGAAGCTTATTGCCATATTAATGGCTAAATTTGGCAACTATGAAACTGAACATGACATTAAACTGTAGAATAGTAGGACTCTCATTGATTGAAACTCAACCACAAAAACCTACCATGTAAAGTCTCCATAAGTTGGGTCTCGAGATGTGTGTATCCAGGACATAACCCTTCACTTTTAAGATAGAAAGATTGTTTCCTGAAGAAAAACAAAAGAAACTGATTGGAAAGTTCAACAGGAAAAGTGGTAACACAAATACAAGAGCAAGACAAGAATATAATATAACCACAAACAACAAAGAATACACGGAAAATACTCCACTACTTTCTAGAAAATGAGGCTGGCACTGATATGCCTGGTAACACAAGTACCCTACAACTTTAATTCTCCACCTCCAAACTTCCCTATCTCTAATCATGTCCTAAGTGAGCTTCAAAAGCATCATGTCTTGTCTAGTGACCTCATGTCTAATCATGTCTTGTCTAGTGAGCTTCAAAAGCATCATGGACTAAGAGAGCACCCTTGATGTGGCCTAGCCTATCTCAACTGGAAAAGGATACGAGTCTCCTCACACTATTGTCATTTTGGTCTTGACATTATCGTACATGTTCGTACATAACCTTAACTTCCCTAGTATATGTTACCCACACATTTTTGTACTCCAAACATTTCTACAAGACCTTCCCAGGGATATGGAAAGTCATAGGGTTCCTAAAACTTGATTTACTCTATCTATTCTCAAGTTTTTTAGCTCAATCAAGTTTTTTTGCATAAGCTTTTGTTCAATACTTATGGTCAAACTTTAAACCTTTTAAAGATGAACTCTGTTTAGATTAAGTTAACTAAACAAATTTTAATTTCCTTGACCTACATTTAAGCCCATTGCATTATGTAACGTCAAATCTCAAACATGGGTTGAGTCAAATTTCCAATTTGAAATGATTAATCACATTGCTGCATATGGTGTTTTTAAATCCCATCTTATATAGGGAATGCAAAGCCAAATTTCAAGTATTTACGTCAAAAGGGATATATCATAAACAAACCAAAACCAAGATCATTCAAGGATATGGACCAACTACTAAATAGGAGTAAGGTCTGCCTACCACACCCTCCCCAGGCCCTACTTTAGTGGGATTTTACTAGGTTGTTGTTTTTGTTGTTATATATATGAAGAGGGTTAATATTCTGGCAATTATTTTCACAACATATCTAACAACATTCATATCTTTGAAATGATTTTTTTGTGAAATCCACCGTAGGATTGAAAGTTATTCACTCATAGATTATTATCTTAAAAATTCACAAAAATCCAAAGTTGTTTCCTATAAAATTCTTTGGCCCAGAGTGTTTGCCCAATTTTGACCTTTTCGAGTCAACGAGTGTCAACCTTTGACCTATAATTAAATGAAAACTATATGGTATATTAATTAGATAAAACAATATTTCATAAGATAAATATTTATAAGATAAACCTGATAAAATAATTTTTGTATCAATATCTAATATCAATTTTATTTAATTTTTGCCTTTTTGGTCAAAGTTTGTTAATTTTGGCTGCAAAAACTGAACAAACACTCTGGGATATTTTAACATGTTTTAAGCCTATATATTGCATTATTTTTTGTTGAATCAGTTGAATTGCGAAGCTCCCTTGAATTTTTGTGAAACTTTAGGATAACAATCTGTAAGTTAGTAACTTTCACTCCTATGGTGGGTTTCACAAAGAAAATCCAATTGAAATATATGAATGTTATTAGATTTGTAATTTGTTGTAAGGATAACCCCACTCATACACACACACACACAATATATATATATATATATATATATATATATACAAAGTTGTATTTCCTCTACAATAATTTAGTATTAATATCAAATATTACCTGAAATTATGATATAAATTATTTTACTCCCTATCTCTAATTTATTTCTTTACATTTTGGTTTATAATACTTGACTCAAGTTATTTCTATAATTCAATTTAATTAAATATTAATGAAAATAAAAACTAACATTTAAACTTCTTTCTAAATCTATATCAATTGTTTTACAAAGGACGTGTTCTTTTTGGTTAAAATTCTAAAGTTGGATGTTGGAAGAAATTAGAAGGAGTTGGAAAGAACTGAAAGGAGTTGGAAAGTGTTGGAAAAATTAAAGAGTTAAAAAATCATTCAATTAAATGATCACCCAAATTTATATGTAAGAAACTCTAATTTTGATTAAAAAAGAATTCATTCTTATCTGTGTTTGAGGTGGTATGTTATAAACCATCCAACAACAATGACACATACCCTAAAAAAGAGGTGTCACCTCATATGCATTTGTCTAGTTAAATAAACAATTCCAATTTTTTCATAAACCATCCAATAACAAACAATGTGTCATTTACATATATATGTTGTTCATTTGTTATAATAAAATAGTCAGGTCATCTCTTATTTAGGGTATGTTCCTATCTTGTAACAAGCTCCTATCTAGTAAATGACACATTGTTTGGTATTGGATGGTTTATGAAAAAATTGGAATTGTTTATTTAACTAGACAAATGCAAATGAGCTTTAAAACAAGCTCATTTATGAGCGGTTAGATGAATATTTGGTTTATTTGTAGGCAAATTATATTATACATCCGGTTGTACCCAATTTTGGGTACAACCAAGAAATTATTTATGGTATGGATTTTATTTTACATGAGAATGAACACTAAGTTATTTGAGAATGAGTACTGTTTTGTTTCAGAATGAACACTACATTATTTGTAGATGAATATTATAATTATATTGAACCAATTTGTGAAAATGAGTACTGCATTGTTTTAGAATGAGTACTACGCTAATTATATTTGTGCGAGAATGAGTACTACTCTACTTCAGAATGAGTACTACCCGAATGTACCGTACATCTTGTATGCCTAAAAAGAGTTGTTGTATGCCTAAAAAGAGTCTGTTATAGCATTTCATGGCGTTCAAATTTGATGTTTCCTAATACACATTTTGTTCTGTTAATAGGCTACTATCTTTTTGTTTGTAAACAGCTGATCAAGAAACGCCTAAAGGAGTACAATGTCTTTGTTCCTTCAAGGTTTAGAGTATTTAGAACTAGAAGAAAATTTACTGCAGGACCGTTTGAGGTAGAATGTATAAGGGTTACCCATTCTATCCCTGATTGTTGTGGATTAGTTCTACGCTGCGATGCTGGTACAATTCTCCATACAGGCGACTGGAAGGTAGTAGAGCTGTTTGTTTTTATCAGCTTTACAGCTAACAGTCTCTTCATATTTAAGGATCCTTATTTTATGCTCAACAGATAGATGAATCACCATTAGATGGAAAGGTTTTCGATCGTGATGCTCTTGAGGAACTCTCAAAAGAAGGAGTTACGTTGGTATGCATGCAATAAACATCTCAAAAAGCAGAAACACTACTTTTGCCCAATACCATTGATGTTTGTTGGGCATGTAGGTTCCATCTGCATACATTTGTTCTACCTTTAGCAGTAATACCTGTCTCAATATAAGAACCAAACAGACTATAATTTGTTTAAGTGCGTATTTCTTATTGCTATCTAACCATCACAAAAACAACCTACCCATTGAGGTCCCACGGATAGGGTCTAGGGGGTGGGTGTGCGCAGGCCTCACCCTACCTGAAGCACCTATAAAAGGTAGAGAGGTCTTTTTTGAAAGATGTCTGGCACACAGGGACAAATGAAACAAATAGCACAGTCCAACAGGAAAAGTAAAGGCTTTTGCCATCTAAGTGTGTTAGTTAAAAATTCCATATCAAATAATATTGGTGAACATGAGTTATTCATGCAATGTTTCTCATTCTCTATAGCAGCCATCGATATGAACGTGTCTGCAATCTGACTTGTTTGGCAGATGATGAGCGATTCAACAAATGTCCTTTCCCCCGGCAGGACACTTAGTGAGACTGTTGTAGCAGACTCTATATTAAGGCACATATCTGCTGCTCGTGGAAGGGTAATCACTACACAATTTGCATCTAATATCCACCGTCTTGGAAGTATTAAGGCTGCAGCTGATTTGACTGGGAGAAAGATGGTAGGGATTTATCCTGCATCTTTTATATTTAGCTTTCTCTTTTCCTTTGGGACCTTTTACAGTTTTGTTAGAATCTCCAGTTGTGGATTGAGTTGGTAACGTTGTAATGGTGAAAGGTTTTTGTTGGCATGGCCCTGAGGACATATCTTGATGCTGCATGGAAGGATGGGAAAGCTCTAATGGATCCATCAACTTTGGTAATAAATTATTGCTTCATCCTTAGTCCTTACTGTTGGGTGTTTGCTCTCTGCTGCCCACTCACCTTCTCATTATTTGTGGCTGTCTAAAAATAGAACCTTGATTTCACGGACTTCATAGTTTGTTTTAGGACTGGCAGTGTGCCGTGTGCGTGTGTTTGTGTGTGGGAAAGTACTAGATTTATGTGAATCGGAGCACACATTTTCTTTCGTAGCCAAGTTTATTGTCTTTACATGATAAATCTAGTTAAGACAATTTTTGGAAAAGGGGATTATTTAATCTAATTTATTATTTCTCTGTTATTTTGTTGCTCATCACTTCATCTGTATACAGGTGAAAGCTGAAGATATCGATGCTTATGCCCCGAAAGATTTGGTGATTGTCACAACAGGCTCTCAAGTAAGTGTATTTATGTTTTCCCTCTGTGCTCTCTATTGTTGCCCACCTAAATTTACTATTCTAACAGGCTGAGCCACGAGCAGCACTGAATCTTGCATCTTATGGTAATAGCCATTCACTCAAGTTGAACAAGGAGGATTTGATTCTTTACTCTGCAAAGGTATTGAATTCAAATTTATAAGGTGTATATATCACATTCCTTATTTACTAAAGAGAATGTGCTAAAACTCAATTCGTTGGGATTAAGGTGTTAATATTGATGATCGTTGTTGAAATTTTAGGACACAATTGTCTCTCCTTGACAAGTTTACAGCTTATCCCCACGCTCACACAGAACTCGCACACAACACCTTCCTAGTTTCTATCACACTCCACACCTATATAATGGTGTGCTCTTATATCTTATATTGTACTCTGGAGTGGTTTTTGGAATGGATATCTTATCTTGTACTAATATCAATAGAAGTAATGTACGTCATATTTGCATCTTCTTTATTTATTTGTTTCTCTTATATTGCTTCCGCTTGCAAGTGGAGAGGGCTTACTAGCTTCATCTGTTTGCCTTCTAATATCTCAATATTCAACATGGTATCTGAGCCAATAATTTGGCAGGTGTGAATAGTATCATTGCTTGAATAAAAGTTTTCCTATGAGTATAAATCTATGGTAGTAGTCCATTAAAGCTGATCCCACCACCAAACGTGCGCCTCCTCATCATGACTTGCTGTTAACCTTCACACAATCATCTTCATTTTGTTCCGGTTTGCCTCATCTGTGCATCGGTCGCCAATGCCGCCACCATAGATGTATTTCTTTCTTCTCAGCAACTCCATACGACCTTTTAGTACGATGATCCGACCACCCACGCGCCACCATTGACTCATAGGTTGCCGCTGTTGTCTCACATGCAACTGGTGTGTGTCAACCATTTCTGGCGATATTTTCAGGCAAAGTTACTTGTTCTTTCCTTCACTTTGCTTCACCATGTGTCATTAACTTCAATCGCTTCTCTAATCTCACTTTATCTACGTGAAGCTCTGTTAATTGATTATTTTCCTTTGGCACTCACCTCTTTGGATGTCATTCAATATTGATTAGATATATGAGCTCGTCCAAAATATTATCATTCTCTTTTTGGCACAGAAAATTAAGGCACTTGATTTAATTTGAGTGATGCATCAACCACTAGGCTAAACACCCTCTCACACTGTTCGAATAACAACAACAACAACCCAGTTGGATCCCACGAAAGTAGGGTTTGGGGAGGGTGCAACCCGAAAGTTGAGAGACTGTTTCCATGAGACTCTCAGCTCCACATAAAAAAAGAGGTCACAAATCACAATGGATACATAAAAGCAAGGATCACACTGTTCCAAAGCTCATTATATTTTCTTAAAGAGAGAATGTGCGGGTTCATTTCTTATGGTGGCATAATGGTGCAAAGGCTCATTTTATGTCTTTTCCGCTTGGGAGATGAGAGGCATTTTAACTTTTATATAGGCTTTGGAGTGATAGTTTGAGGGAGGGCTAAAAATAGGGTTACATTTTAAAAAGGCGGGAAAGTGAAAATGAACCAAACCAAGCCACACCAAACACACCCAATATATCCACTAGGAAGTAGACCCGGAGAAGGTGAGACATACACACTTCTTGCCTCTTTTGTAGCAGCGGAGAGGATGTTTTTGACCCCATCAACAGCATCAAGTACTTAAATGACAGTGTACTAGCACAAGCGACAAAATTAACTAAAAGAACAGGGACGATACTGAGCAACAAAAAGAGAATAAATACTACCAAAATTATTGGCAGGTTATACTAGGTGGCAAACCCGCACTGCACCTGCAATCTTAAAAAATGGCGGGCTCTCAAATCTTTTCTTGCTATGTTCTATTTGAGGATTTCAGGGGAATAATATTCCCTTCTACTCATCTCTCTCTTCTATTCCTCCCCTCTCTTATCAATCTTCTCCCGTTTCCTCTTCCACATCATCCTACCCCCCCTCTTTTCTCCCCATTAGAGATGCCCTTAAGGCTCTTAATCTGGAAGAAACAGCCTTAAGAACTAAAGGTTATTGGTTCCATAACTTATAGAAGCTTCAAATTTTGTGCCTTTAGTATGCTTTACCATATGACACTTATCATGTACTCCCTCCGTTAGTCCATCCCAAAATGAAATTTACACTTTCATTTTTCATTTTTGGGATGTCCCAAAATGTACACTTAGCTTCCCACTAAGGAAGGAAATTGTGGCTCATGACAATAATCTCTCATCTAAACAAATTTCAACCACACGCCTTTTACTTTTGAACTCTTTTCTTAAACTCCGTGAAGTCAAACCGTAAATTTCATTTTAGATGGAGGGATTATAATCTGTGGTCAAATTGTCCATTTTCCTTGATAATGAGGAAGACTGAATGAGTTGTCACGTGCATCGAAAACAGATGTATATCCTTATGTGTAGGGATGTAAAACTCATATTCTTTATCTCTTCATGTGTGTAATATTGTCTGGGAGGCCGGTTCCATTGCCACAGGGGAACAGTGCCACTGGCTTTTTGGAGCGCCTACGGTGCTCCGTTCGCAAAATTGATATTTCTTACCCCCTAACCTCGCTAATTGACGGTGCACCTGTGGTGATTGCCTAATCACCACACATTTGGAGGGGGGCTGGAGAGGGGGGTTTGGGGGGTGGGGAGTTAGTGGATATGAACTATCCCAGTGGCAACAGAACCGGGCCGTCTTTAATGTGCTATTTTGATTTAGTCCATTATTTACTTGAAACTAAAACCTTGTCAAAAGTTACTCTTTTAGCTCCATTGGTAATGAACACATACAATTATGTTGGTTATATTTACAGTTTATATAACACTGAAAATATTTATTCTTTTGTTTTGTTATTCCTTTCGTCCCAATATAAATTCCACTATTCTTCACTTCTCTTTTAAGGAAAGAATTGTGTGGTTCACATTTGTTCTTGCCTTTTTGGATATATGTCAACCATATAGTTTTACTTTCTTAATACGCCTGTCACTTCCCACTTTATAGTTTATTTTGGGACGGAAGGAATAATATTTGATAATGCCTATTAGAATGATATGCACGTCATTGGGCTATAAACAGGTTTGTTCTGGGAAGTGTTATACACAAAATATCTGAGTTTTTTCCTTCCCTGCAATAAATTTGGGGGATTTCCAACTCACATGATAAATAATGTGATCTTTCTTATAGGTGATCCCTGGCAATGAGACTCGGGTAATGAAAATGCTAAACCGTATTTCTGAGATAGGGTCAACAGTAATCATGGGCAAGAATGAACAGCTGCATACATCTGGCCATGCTCACCGTGAAGAGTTGGTAATTCTTTATACTTCAAGTGAAACTCATACCTGTGGGCGGCTGTTTGATTGGATTTTATTCTATGGATTATACTGAGCCATGAATGAGGAGCCATGTTGTATCTTGATTCTTGACTGTATTACCATTGTTCATCATGTCTCCTAAGTAAGATGAGTGAAATTATATCTTCTTGTTGTGTATGTGTGTGTGTGTGTTTCTCTAGGGAGGGGTGGGGAAGTGGTATTGTGTGATTTTTTTTTGACATCACACTCTCACACATTTATGTAATTCTTATCCAGACTGGTGGAATTGCCTTTATATAAGTGTTTTGTCCTAATTTTGAAATGAAAGTGGAGATGGGGAGTAAATGGTAGTTTTGGAGCAATAGAATTACTTATGCCCCAGTGCCTTTTTTTAGTGTGCTATGTTGTTAATATTGGGTAATATTGCTAGAAGAGACAATTATAATGAATTCTTGCCTCTTTTTTTTTTTTTTGCAAAATTAGAAACTACAGTTGTCTACAATTTTACTGAACCATTCATATTAGAGTAAGAATATGTTCTAAAAAAGAATAAGATTTTTTTCTTAGCTGATATTGATTGGGAATTCAACATTTTTAGGAAGAAGTGCTGAAAATTGTGAAGCCACAACATTTTCTTCCGATTCATGGAGAATTTTTGTTCCTGAAGGAGCACGAACTGCTTGGGAGGTCAACTGGAATCAGGCACAGCACTGTAAGTGCATTTATTCATCTTTAATAAAATATGAAGACTTTCAAATGTGTTTGACAGAGAATTCCAAAATTCTTGTTGGGGGTACAATGTCATATAATTGTAAAAAAGGGAATATTGTTTATTACTCCGAACAAGTAGATAATGCTTAAGATACTTCTTTTGCTTAAATATTTTTCTTATGAGATTAAATTAAATTAATAGGGTTTGCTTTTGCAATATCAACATTAACTTCATGGGTCATTTTGTGCCAAGAAATGCAAATGATCACAACATTCACACCAAACATATTGTTGAGATGGTATTCTACATTTATATATTGATTAACAAAGTCTTATTTGCAATGTGCCAACTCAGCAATCCTGATGAGGTTAATGCCGAGCTAATTGGTTAATGTTCCATTGTGTTGCTATATCCAATCCTATTATTGCTAAATCCACTCCATTTATCTAAAATGCACAAATTTGCCCTTAAAAGTTGGCTAACATCTAATATTGCTTCTGTGCTTTTAAGGGTAAAATTGTTCATTTACCCATAAATGGAGTGGATATACCCATAATAGAGGTGGATATAGAAACACCCCTAAATTTATCTGAATGACATCAACCACTCAACTGTACTTAGAAGTTGGATTGAATTTACAACACCCTTCTCAAGTTTGTTGTCCTCTGGCTCCATGCTTATTTTTAGACAATTTTTACCCACCCCCTGCAAAAAAAAGGATTTCAATAATGCTTAATGTTTTTTTAAACGGTTAATGTTCAATTTTTATTTTTTTCTATATTTACATATTCAATAATTTTTTAATGATCTTTTGAGGTATGATGTAATAAAGCAAATTGGCTCTTTAAACTGTCTGCGCTTCTTGCAATCGTGAAGTAGCAGTTAGTTAATGCAACTTTTGATGCTCATCATGGGTCATCTGGAAATAGCCGCTCTATGTTTCATCCGACCCCCCCTTACCCCGCAATGGGCAGGAGCCGTTGAGGCACTGGGATAATGTTGTTGTTGTTGTTGTTTTTTATTAGTGCATCATTTGATCTGCTTAGGCTTATTCTATTTCTAAAAATTGAATCTTTATACGAAATACCTCCCATTCTATTCTTTATACTTTTTGTTACTGTATCTCAAGATATTGCCAAGTTACCTGAAGTGAGTACAACTCCATGCCCTAAAATTTTCTTCCTGATTTCTTTTTTTTGGGCCGTTTTAAAATCTTCTTCATGGCAAAATGTTTACAGTGGTCTTGTTTTTATAAACTAATTTCATATATTCTAAATGAACGGCATATGGATAAAGAGCATTTTAAGGTGAAGAATTTCAGCCGAATATTTATTCAAATCTATGCACATTATGTGAAACATTTTTACTCTTGTGATCATCAGGTTATCAAGAACGGAGAGATGCTCGGAATTTCCCATTTGAGGAATAAAAGAGTTTTATCCAATGGTTTTATTTCCCTGCGTAAAGAGAATCTGCAGGTGTTCGGCACTTCAAAATACAACTGTCACATTTGAATATTTAAAATGCAAGTACCTAATAGAATAATAAGGATATCGTGTTGCTAATAGTGCTTCAAAGTGCAGTTAATGTATAGCGATGGTGACAAAGCATTTGGTACAGCTGCTGAACTTTGTGTTGATGAGAGAATGAGAATTGCTTCAGATGGTATAATAGTTGTCAGGTAACTTTATGGATTATTCATCTTGTGTGTCTTTTTACTTTGTTGCTCAATGATAGCCTGATATTAGTTAGTGTTTATGCTACAGTATGGAGATCATGCGTCCCCAAGCCAATGATTCTCTGTCTGAGAGATCCATTAAAGGAAAAATAAAAATCACCACACGCTGTCTATGGCATGATAAAGGAAAACTTTTGGATGCACTCCAAAAAGCAGCACATGCTGCACTCTCTAGCTGTCCTGTAAATTGTCCTCTCCACCATATCGAAAAAACTGTGTCTGAAGTTTTAAGGAAACTAGTGAGAAAATACAGCGGTAAAAGGCCTGAAGTTATTGCAGTTGCACTAGAAAATCCTGTCAGTGTCATAGCAGATGAAATCAGTAATAAGCTATCAGGAAAATCCTATGCTGGTTTTGGAGTTTCAGCATTAGGAAAAGCCATAAATGGAAATTACAGAAAGAGGGGGCCATCAAATACAATACTTGCAGAAGAGGACAATGGCCCTGAGGATTCCATGAGCATTGCATATGAGGAAGAAAAAGGTTAGGTCCCTGTCAAACTTAGAAAGTCACTGTCAAATTTTCTTGTATATTGATGGTCTCACAAGCTTTCAGCCACACAGTGTTATGATGTGTAATCTCTGTTCCTGGATCTTAACCTTTGGATATGGGCATGTTCCCCTTTTAACCCATATTTTAACTCATGCCATTTGATCCACTTTGGTAGCAGAGCAAGCAATTCTAACAAATATTCATTTTAACCCATGGCTGCATAAAGTGTATAGGTTACAATTTAGACTTTTTCTGCCTATAGATTTTGTAAATTCAACGATGTGTGTTCAAGTAAAACTTTGGGAGTACTACACAACTGGTTTGATATTAGAGTTGGTCTCAGGATCCAAGTAACTATTCATGGCATGGTATGTCATGTTGGAACTTAGTCTGTTGCTCACATATAAACATTTTGTGTACATTATATGAAGTTTGATTTAGTTATGTTGCTGATCTTTATCATTAAGATTTTTAAAAAAATATGATTTTCAATATAACTTTCATTATTCATAGTTTATAGAAGTCCATTTTCATGGTTTATTGTGTTTGAGTAGGTGCGGCCGATATTGATATTCAAGGGGATAATACATCTGGTGAAGAAACCACAAGTTTTAACACATTGCAAGATTTATCTATGGATGATGCCGTGTCAGATGACTTACAGAAACCTTCTGCCATATCATCGCCCATTCATGGCAACCTTCTCCGAGAACAAGTACACGATAGCAAAAATGAAGAACTTCCTTCTGACTTGTCAAAACCAAAACCGGAATCTTTGAAACCCTTGAAAAGAAACAAGTGGAAACCTGAAGAGGTTAAGAAGCTGATTAAAATGCGTGGCGAACTGAACAACAAATTCCAAGTCCAAAAGGGGCGAATGGCTCTTTGGCAGGAGATATCTTCCCGCCTGGAATCTGATGGAATCGCTCGAAGCCCTGGACAGTGCAAATCTCTGTGGGCTTCTCTTGTTCAAAAATACGAGGTCATTGCTTCTCGGCCCATTTAGATATTCTCATCTGCTCGACAGTAACAATGCACATTTTAGTTCCCAAAGTTTGGTTGATTTGAGAAGTTTTCTCACTTCAACAATGGCCATTGACTTGTCATTTCCTACTCACTTATCTGATGATTGTTTCCTTTTCTCCTGTAGCAGGGAACCAAGAATGATACCAAGAGCCGGGAAAAATGGTCGTTTTTTAAGGATGTGGATGACATCTTGTCCGACTCACGAGAACGGGCATCAAGATGATGGGAGAATGTAAAAACGTTTGGACTTTTGGTTGATGATTCTATCTACAAGGGACACTTGCCTGTTTGGCTGCCTGCCATGATTTGCCTGCCATGTCTATAGCAAGCTTACCATCATTTTACTCGGCCTGGCTGGCTCTCAATATCAAGCTGTGTTCATGGGCGTCATGTGGTGGATTCCACTCCATAAGAGAGAGAGAGAGAAAGAGAGAGAGAGAGAGAGAGAGAGAGAGAGAGAGGTTTGTGTATGTTATAAACCAAGTTTGCCGCCAATTGAGGAGTGGCCTGGCTATTTTTATTACACCAGTGTAGGGTATTACTCTTTGTTTTTTTTAGTTTGGATTGGACTATCAATTACTCGTATTTGAATGACCCCTTTTTTGTTTATTCGTTGATATTCCTTCTCTCCCAAGAGAATGTATTCTTCTTTTTTTGATTTTTTTGAGTCAATTGAATGAATTTTAATCAACATTTACACTTTAATAAAATACTCTCTTTATCCCAAATTAAATTATGCATTTACTATTTACAGAGTCAAATTTTATTCACTTTCTTTTCTTATTTTTATTAGTCATTTGATAAAATAGTATAGTCATATCACTATTAGTTTTGTAGATCTTTTGATGTAGTTTTTAAATATGAAATTTTATATTTTTTAATTTTACACCATTTTTCATATAAAATTATTTGAAAATATTTTTAGTCAAACATCATAACCTGAAATACGCAATTTAAATTAGGACGGAGGGAGTAATATGTTGTAATGATAAAAAATAATACTTCCTCCCTCTCAAAAACTCCTTTCCCTTTCTTTTTTTCTTGTCCCACAAAATTCTCCCTTTTTTTATTAAAAAACCGTTGTTTCTCTACTAATTTTTAAACTATCTTTCACATCATGAGAAAAATACTAAAGTAGAAGTTAAATATTGAAAATAGAAGTTTCATGTTTTTATTCTCGAAATAAGAGTTAAAATGCATTTACATTATCACTTATGATGTACATTACCAAAAAGTATAGTAAAATGCACATGTACAATGCCACATTATCATTGTGATTTCCTCCTATTTAAGGTATAATTTGTTGTGAAAATTTAAATAAGTTGACGAAAGTAATCCCAAGCTGTTATAAAATGAGAGAAAAACTACTCAGAGATTAAGATAATAGATATAATATATTTCTGATTTCTTCTCTCTATTAACTCTTCACTCTTCTCTTATTCTTAATTGTGATTACAATGCAGGGATTAAGCCTCTATTTATAGTAGAGAGGCTTAGTATTTATACAAATACAAGTGGGAAGGACTGTACTAAATTGATACTCATCAATGAGTATCTTAATCTACTATTCTAGAAATTAGGCCTGATTAATTGAATAAATGAACAATCATTAATTTCATAACACTCCCCCTTGAATGTTCATTTTTCAATTAATGATGGGTACTTCGTAAATGGACATAGTTTAGTAACCCATTCTAATTTTATGTACTGCCTCGTTAAAAACTTTGTCAGGAAAAACCCAGTGGGATAAAAACCTGATCAAGGGAAAAAGAGTACAGTTCATAAAATTCTCCCCCTCAGCTTAGCATAATTGACGGAGGCGACGCATGCCAATCTTGTGTACGAGTTCTTCAAATTTCTTCGGGGGCAACGCTTTTGTAAATAAATCAGCAAGGTTTTCACTGGACTTGATTTGCTTGATGTCAACCTTTCCATCTTTCTCGAGATCATGTGTTGAGAAGAACTTTGGTGATATATGCTTTGTTCGGTCTTCTTTGATGTAACCTCCTTTTACTTGAGCAATGCATGCAGTATTGTCTTCATATATAGGAGTCGGATGACTAGTAATTGTTTCTATACCGCACCCGTTCTGGATATGTTGGATCATTGATCGCAACCATACACATTCTCTACCTGTTTCGTATAGAGCTATCAACTCTGCGTGATTTGATGATGTGGCAGTCAAAGTTTGTTTCATCGATCTCCATGATATTGCAGTATCTCCATAAGTAAACACATAACCTGTTTGAGATTTTGCTTTTTGTGGATCAGACAAATATCCTGCATCAGCGTATCCAACAAGAGTGGCCTTGGCACCTTTGCGGTAGAATAAACCAAGGTCGATGGTACCATTGAGATATCGCAAAATGTGTTTAATGCCATTCCAATGCCTCCTAGTCGGGGTCGAGCTGTGTCTGGCTAACAAGTTCACTGAGAATGCAATATCTGGTCGAGTGTTGTTTGCTAGATACATCAAAGCTCCAATAGCACTCAAGTATGGTATTTCTGGACCGAGTATTTCTTCATCATCTTCACGAGGTCGGAATGGATCATCATGTACATTGAGAGAGCGGACAACCATCGGGGATGTGAGAGGATGTGCTTTATCCATATAAAACCGCTTCAGAACCTTCTTCGTGTAATTTGACTGGTGAATGAGTATTCCGTCTTTCAAATGGTCAATTTGAAGACCAAGACAGAATTTTGTTCTCCCAAGATCTTTCATCTCAAATTCTTTCATGAGATATTTTGCAGTATTTTCTATTTCATCAGAAGTTCCAATGATGTTTAAATCATCAACATATACTGCAATAATGGCAAAGCCTGATTTAGATCTACGGATGAAAACACATGGACTAATTGGATCATTTTTGTATCCTTCTCTGAGCAGATATTCACTGAGACGATTATACCACATTCTGCCAGATTGTTTTAGTCCATATAGT